GCACAACAGGCTCTCCTGTCCTTCACTATCTTCAGGAGTTTGCTCAAATTCACATCCATTGAGTTGGTGATGCCATCCAACCATCTCATCCTCTGCTGCCCCCTTCTCCTTTTGCCTTCAGTCTTTCCCAGTATCAGGGTCTTTTCCCATGAGTCAGCTCTTCAAGTCAGGTGGCCAAAGTATTGGAGCTTCAGCATCAGTCCTACCAATGAATATTCAGGGTTGATTTCCTTTAGGATTGACTGAGTTGATCTTGCAGTCCAAGGTTCTCTCAACAGTCTTCTCCAGCACCACAATTCAAAAGCATCAATTCTTCAGCATTCAGCCTTCTTTATGGTCCAACTCTCACAACCATACATGACTACTAAAAAAACCTTTGTTTTGACTATACTGCCATTTACACCCCCATTTTACAGAGTAGGAAATTGAGGCTAAGAGAGGTTTAGCATAATAGCGCATCTAAAGGCGGAAAGTAAAAGTGGTAAGAATCAAAGCTGGGGTTTTCCGATTCTAAGCCTGTGTACTTCCTGCCACACTGCACTACTTCCTGGATGAAACACACACACACACCCACCCCACAAAACTGTGTCACGTCAGAGTTAAAAAGACGTGTTTAAGACTGGAACACAAAATGGTAAACTGTGTCTCATTATCCAGGGATCCAAATGTCTCTCAACCAAACTGTTTCTTTTTTGAATACAAGGACCATGTTTTTACATCTTCCACTAGAGAAAATAGCACATCATTCTGTATACACAATAGGGCATGCAATTAATCCCCCTGGATTTACATGGAAATTTAAAGAAGAAAGTGGATCCGTGTCCTGGTTTAGAATACTCGATCAAACAATCCAAATAAACTATGAGTTCCCCAAAGCTTTGAAAACCTTACCAAATATAGCTCATGTTTTCTGGAGACAATGAGAGTTCTGATCTGAAGCTCAACACTTCTACTAATCTCATCAAAAATATCAGGAGTGCAAACAATTCCTATCAGACCTCCAGGTGGGATTAGGGAAGGGCTTCCCATGTTGCAGCTAAAAAACCCCACAGCTAAAGACTTTGGAAGTGACACAGTTTTAGGATTGTGTTTATTTTGTCCTTTTGTCCCCCCAGGTGTTATGAAGAATACTGCATTATTGCTGCTATTCTGGCAAAGAGAACGGGGTATCCCCAAACAGCCTAAACCTGTTTCCCAATCTGAGGATGAGAGTGGGGTGAGGACCAGCAGCTTTGCTTCCCACTGCCTGTGCTGGGAGGTTTTTGAATAGGCAATTTAGGGGAATGGGGGCCCATGGCTCAAAGCAAATGGGGATGGGAGTAAATGGAAACTGCCTATGATTGGATTTATTTCTAAGAGTTTTTAGCCACGATTTTATTGAAACGTCTGTGATTACATCAGATGATCTCTGAGGATGGCAGACCCTAAATATGCATTTTTTTTTTTTTGCAAACTTTTTATTTTGCCTTGGGGTATATCCGATTAACAATTCTGTGACAGTTTCAGGTGAACATCGAAGGGACTCAGCCATACAAAGACACGTTCAGTTCAGTTGCTCAGTTGTGTCCAACTCTTTGTGACCCCATGCACTGCAGCACACCAGGCTTCCCTGTCCATCACCAACTCCCAGAGCTTGCTTAAACTCATGTCCATCGAGTCAGTGATACCATCCTGCATTTATACCTCTTCCAGATTGCGAGGTAAGCCATGTAGTAGAGAGACAGGGCTGAAACTGGGGGCCTGGGGGTGACATGAAAGATGATGATGGGACTTTCCTGGTGGCTCAGTGGCTAAGACTCTATGCTCCCAATGCAGGGGGCCCCAGGTTCAATTCCTGGTTGGGGAACTAGATCCCACATGCTGTAACTAAGAGTTCGAATGCCACAACTAAAGATCCTGAAAGCCACAACTAAGATCTATGGCAGCCAAGAAAAATTAAAAAAAAAAATAATGATGGCAAAAGCCAAACTCCTGTGGACTCAAAGTCACATTAGGACACAGACTGGACCTGCCAGAGAGAATGAATTTGTTATATGATGAGATATGTGTGTGGTCTGGGAGTAAGAACAGAGTCTGGCATTTAGGAAGGCTGTATTTAACTTCTGTTACTTATTACAGCTTTAGGGTATCTGAAAAGTTGCTTAACCTTATTGGGCCTTAGTTTCTTCATCTGTAAAATGGTAATAACAGGGTTACACACCTCAAAGGAATGTGGAGGAGGTGATATGAGATAATGCAGAGAAACGTTCTTAGCCTAGTGCTGAGCACCCAGAAGTGAACAGGGCACTCAGGACATGCCCAGTGAACGCTGGTCAGCACTGCTGACCTTGTCATTATCGCTAATGGGAATAGCTTATAAATGTGTTATTGTAAAATGTTCTTCATCTTCACTTATAGGTGAGGCTTCCCAGGTGGCGCTAGTGGTAAATAACCTACCTGGCAATACAGGAGACATGAGACTCGGGTTCGATCCCTGGTCGGGAAGATCCCCTGGAGGAGGACATGGCAACCCACTACAGTATTCTTGCCTGGAGAATCCCATGGACAGAGGAGCCTGGTGGGCTACAGTCCATAGAGTCACAAAGAGTCGGACATGATTGAAGCAAGTTAGCACAGATAGCAAGTAATACTTCTAAAAAAAAATAAGAAGAGTTTCTTGGTGTATTTTAACATGAGAGGAGGGCAGGACAGAAATGATGACCCACGCGTTGCATCTGAGAAAGTGGAAGCTTATCTGGTGAAGGGGCTTGCTGGAATCTAGCAGGTGGGGTAGGGTCAGCCAAGCATGTGGCTCGGGTCTCTGCTCTGTTCACAGCATCCTGGGAGTCCACCAAGAGGCAAGATGCCCCAGAGTGGAGAGCTGGAAGCCTGCCCGTGAGACAGGGTGCCAGGACTCTAATCTGGTCTGGTCTGGTCTATTCATTTACATGCTGTTTGGGACCTGTGTGGATTTTACAACCCGTGTAGGTGGTGGCCTAAGACAGCCATGGTGCCCAGTGCCAAGTGAAGGGCCTGTTAGACTCACCCGAGGAGTTCCTTAGGTTTAGAGGGAGTTCCAATGTTTAAATTGCTATTACACACAGAGAGAACAAATATATGAATGCCAAGGGAAGAAGGCAGGGTGGGATGAATTGGGAGATTGGAATTGGCATACAGACACTACTGATACTACGTACAAAATGGATAACTAATGAGAACCTGCCGTATAACACAGGGAACTCTGTTCTGCGGTGACTAAAATGGGAAGGAAATCCGAGGAAGAGGGGATGTATGAATACCTGTGGCTGATTCACTTTGCTGTATGCCTGAAACTAAGACAGCACTGTAAAGCAACTATAATAAAAAAAAAAATACACAGGAAAAGAATCTAAAAAATAAATGGTTATTACAGAACAACTTGCAAACGAATGGAAAAGCAGAGATTTAGAAAATGCTGAGCCCCCAACGATCCTCACCCCACAGCAGTCTGAGTTTGTCTACACTCAGGCCACTTCCCTGCTCCCTGATGTTTTTAAGGAAATCTTTGGGAAGTGAACGAACAGTACAAACATTCCCTGTGATTTGGGTCTCGGAGGTCTGAGTGCTTGGGGGTTTATGGTTCTCAAGGCCGCCCCCCCACCACCAGGCAAGATGGAAGGACAGCCTCCCCTGGGGCTGCTGAGCTGGGTGACCTCTGAGAGCTCCGTCATTTACAAGCAGGGGATTTTGTAGGTGACAGTTGGGCAGTGAGCTCTGTGAGGGGAGGCAGACAGACCCTTCAGCTCTGCGGGTGTGTCAGAGGTTGTTGGGGGGCTTCCTGGTGGCTCAGTGGTAAAGAATCTGTCTGCCAACGCAAAAGACACGAGTTCGATCCCTAATCTGGAAAGATCCCACATGCCAGGGAGCAACTAAGCCCATGGGTCACAACTCCTAAGCCTGGGCTCTGGAGCCTGGGAACCACAACCTCTGAAGCTCTGCATGCCCTAAAGCCCATGCCACACAACGAGAGAAGTGACCACAGTGAGAAACCCTCACACCTCAACTAGAGAAATCCCGCACAGCAACAAAGACCCAGTGCTGCCAAAAATAAACAAATAAATATTAAAAAAAAAAAAGAAGAGAGGGCTTCAGGGGCTTGGGGAAGGACCTGCCAGCCAGGCGGTGGCAGGACGAACAAAGAGGAAAGAGCCTGGAGGAGGGAGGCTTGTCCGCTGGGCATGAGCAAAGACCGTCCTGAGACAGGACATTTCATGTCCGTGCAAGCTAATGATCTGTGGTCACCTACCCATTGCCACCATTGCCTGGGACCCCTCATGGGCAAGACACCTACCGTTCATCTCTCTATCCCCAGAGCCTGGTGCAGTAACTGCCAACTTGGGCTGATTTTATGAAATTGATAACATCCGACTGGGCTTTACCTTCAAAATATCCACTTTATGACTCCCCATGTACAGGAGGGATTCACTGAATGTCCACTGAAGGGACAAGCACGGACACAGTTATAACAGCACTGATGTGCCAGAAACCAAGCTGGGGTTTCTGGTCAACCCCAAACCAGTGCCAAGCGGCCGTGATGCCGGCAACTGAGGAAGCTGAGACACCACACGTGCAAGAGTGCAGACCAGTGAGGACGGTTACTCCACGTCCGGTGTGAACTGCTGATTATGCCCATTACTGTCCAGGACCAACAGCTTCCTGACAGCAGAAGTAGGATTTGAACCCAGGCTGGCCTGGCTCCAGTCACGCCGCCTGGCCAAGGAATGTCCATCCTGGAAATGCAGTAACCAGAAGCCTTTAAAAAGAGGACTGGGTCAACAGGGTCACTACGTGGACATGTGAAAACTACAAACAACTTGGCAAGTCCTAGACAATGAGTAACTTCAGGGTAAGGAACAGAATTGGGGTAGCTGGTATGAATTCTGGGGGCAGAGCCTGCAGTATTTCATGGGGCATGTATTTTCCATCTCTGACTGGGCCTTTCTCTGCAGAGGGAGAACGAGCAAGGTTTAAATGTCTCTTACCTCTTTGCTCTGTCTTTCTCATCTTCATCCATTAGATTGTCTCTGCAGTTTTTCCTGCCAAAAAAAAAAAAAAAAGAACAGATGATGACTGTCTGATTCTCAACCTTTCTCCCAGGTCTTTCTGGTTGCCATCATTATTGTTGTTTTTGTTTAGTCCCTAAGTCGTGTCCGACTCTGCTACCCCATGGAATGTAGCCTGCCAGGCTCCTTTGTCCATGGGATTCTCCAGGCAAGAATGCTGGAGTGGGTTGCCATTTCCTTCTCCAGGGGATCTTTCCCACCCAGGGATCCATTCCAGGTCTCTTGCACTGGCAGGCAGATTCTTTATTACTAAGCATCATTTGGGGCTGATCTATTAAACCACATGCTTTAGTCCATAGCTTCTCAAACCTTCTGGTTCCAGCAACAATTTTCATGCTCAAAAATGACTGAGGACTCTGAAGAGCTCTTGTGTATGTGGGTGAAAACTGAAAAATCTTAAAGATACAAGCATGCTGTCCATTAGGCATCAGAGAGATGTAGCTGACAGATGTCAAGGCATTTCTGGAAAAGTCCACCATAGGGAGTTCCCTGGTGGCCCAGTGATTAAGACTTTGCCTTCCAATGCAAGGGGCACAGGTTCCATCCCTTGTCAAGGAACTAGATCCCACATGCCTTGCAGCCAAAAAGCCAAAACATAAAACAGAAGCAATATTGTAACAAATTCTATAAAGACTTTAAAAATGGTCCACATCAAAACAAACAAAAATAATAAAAAGAAAAGTCCACTGCATACTCATGGGAGTAAACAGACAGATGATATGCCAACATTAGGAAAATCATTTTGATCTCATGGAACCCCCTAGTTCCCTAGATCACACTTCGGGAACTGCTTTCTGGACCTAGCTCAAAGCAGCATCTGTTTATTTCAAGCCTTAAACCTGAAAGCTGCTCATGACATTATTTATCTGTTCCTTCAAATATACAAACTCCTCTTAGGCAGCCTGGAGGAATTGGGGCCCCAGATGAGTATAATTGCTGCCCTTTAAAAAAAAACCTATTGGAGTACAATTGCTTTACACTGTTTTCTTAGTTTCTGCCGTAGGGCAAAGTGAATCAGCCATACATATACACACATCCCCTCCTTTTTGGGATTTATTTCACGAGTACGTCACTTCAGAGCATCGGTAGAGTTCCCTGTGCTATACAGTGGGTTCTCATTTTATACACGGCACCAATAGTGTATATGTGTCAACTCCAATCTTTCAATTCATCCAAGCCACCCCTTCCCCCTTGGGGTCCATATGTTTGACCCCTACGTCTATGTCTCTATTTCTGCTTTGCAAATAGGTTCATCTGCACCATTTTTCTAAATTCCACATCATATACAGTAATATATGACATTTGTTTTACTCTTTCTGACTTAATTCACTCGGTATGACAGTGTGGTGAAAGCATTTCCTTTAAGGTCAGGAACGAGACAAGGACATCCCCTCTCGCCACTGTTATTCAACACAGCATTGGAAGTCCTAGCCATGGCAGAGAAGAAAAAGAAATAAAAGCAATCCAAATTGAAAAAGAAGAAATAAAACTGCCAGTGTTTGCATATGACATGATACTATACATAGAAAATCCTAAAGATGCCACCAGAAAACTTCTGGTGCTAATCAATGAACACGGTAAAGTTGCAAGATATAAAATTAATAGACAGAAATCTCCTGCATTCCTATACACTAAAGATCAGAAAGAGAAATTAAGGAAATAATTCCATTTACCACTGCAATAAAAAGAATGAAATAGCTAGGAATAAAACTATCTAAGGAGGCAAAAGACCTGTACTCAGAAAACTGTAAGATGCTGATGCTGTCCTTTTTTTTAAAAGGTATATACACTCCCAGACAGTCAAGGCACACAGATGTGAAAAGTACCAATCCAGGAACGTTCTCACATGCCCCAAATCATCAGAGATGGCCTTATCATCTGGGCCTTCACTTTCCCAGGCCACTCACTAGAAGCCTCTCAGGCTCACTGACCAGGGGTCCTCTTCTCCACGCAAGCCTCTGATCCTTGGAGCCACATTCCTGATTCCCTTTCCTTCACATGCCCCCCAGGGTTCCTTCTATCTCGGGGGCTCCCCCTCCAGCCAGGCCTCCATGTAGAAAGACTATCAGGATGTCCTGAGGCCAGAGTTAGGTGAACTGGAGGCAGGAACATGCGGCAAAGTGTGATGAAGACATGGGCAGGGACCACGTGGAAATGGAGGCACCCTGGTCCATGTGCTTCTGGTCTCCAAGCAGAGGGTCTGACGGCAGGACTCCAGAACTGACACTTTGAAAATGCACTAAAGTCTCCTCTTGAAATTCCAAGTTCCAGATCACAATTTTTTAAGTGAAAATAACTCATTTCATGAAAAAGACAGTATGCAATTTTTTTTAACAATAAAGTTACCCAGATGCTACTTCCTCCAATTCAATATCATGTCTGCAAGCTCAGGTCCCTTTATTTTTTAGTTGGAAGATGCTTGCTTTACAGTGTTGCGTTGGTTTCTGCTGCACAACAGTGTGTACAGCTATCAGTATACATATACCAGCTATGTTGGAAAAAAACCTGCCAGTTGCTCAGTTGTGTCTGACTCTTTTTGACCCCATGGACCATAGCCTGCCAGGCTCCTCTCTCCAACGGATTCTCCAGACAAGAATACTGGAGTGGGCTGCCACTCCCCTCTCCAGGGGATCTTCCCAACACAGGGATCAAACCCGGGGCTGTATCAGCTGTGTGTCTGCATATGTACCCTCCTTCTTGATCCTCCCTCTCCTCCCCCACCCCGCCCCGGGCCTGATCCTGCCACTCTACGTTGTCAGAGCACTCAGCTGGGCTCCCTGTGTTAAACAGTAGCTTCCCACTGGCGGTGACAAGAACATTAAAAGAAAGAATTATTAGAGGCCAAGCTTGTTCATGAACATGCCTATAAAAATTCTAAACCAAACATGAGCTAATCCAATAGAACCATGTATAAAAACGATAACCTTAAATAACAATTCTTCATGGGAACAGACGAATCTTTGCTCTGAGATAATTTTGTTGTGTGGTGTTCATCTGCTCTGAGCCCAGACACCAATCTGAGCCAAAGAGGAAAAGGAATTGTGCAGCCACAGCTCAACTGTTTACGCACAAGCCCTGTTCGGCAGGCATATTTTAGTGATAGATTTGCGAGACACGCCATTCGGTGGTTGAGGCTTGTAATCATAATTAAAGTGGGCTTAGCACATCTGCAAACAGGCATCTGCTTAATGTTTCCCATATGGAATCTGTTCAAAGCCTTGAGACATGGAAAATGTGGTCCATTCATTTAATGATGTGCTACCCAGGTCTGCACTCCAAGGAAAGGGGTGGTGCCTATGTGCCGAGGGCATGAGTTAGGCTCCAGCCACGGGGAAAGGGTAAAAGGCATGCCTTTCCCCAGCTGCCCCTGGACAGAGCACATTCACAGGAGGATGCGGGCTTCAGCCTGCTTTGCTGAGGATCTGAAATCCTGATTGGACAACTGAGGTTGTTTCATCATACACAGTTCAGTTCAGTTCAGTCGCTCAGTTGTGTCTGACTCTTTGCGACCCCATGAATCACAGCACGCCAGGCCTCCCTGTCCATCACCAATTCCTGGAGTTTACTCAAACCCATGTCCATCGAGTCGGTGATGCCATCCAACCCTCTCATCCTCTGTCGTCCCCTTCTCCTCCTGCCCCCAATCCCTCTCAGCATCAGGGTCTTTTCCAGTGAGTCAACTCTTCGCATGAGGTGGCCAAAGTATTGGAGTTTCAGTTTCAGCATCAGTCCTTCCAATGAACACCCAGGACTGATCTCCTTTAGGATGGACTGCTTGGATCTCCTCACAGTTCAAGGGACTCTCAAGAGTCTTCTCCAACACCATAGTTCAAAAGCATCATTTTTTCGGCGCTCAGCTTTCCTCAGAGCCCAACTCTCACATCCATACATGACCACTGGAAAAACCATAGCCTTGACCAGATGGACCTTTGTTGGCAAAGTAATGTCTCTGCTTTTTAATATGCTATCTAGGTTGGTCATAACTTTCCTTCCAAGGAGTAAGCGTCTTTTAATTTCATGGCTACAATCACCACCTGCAGTGATTTTGGAGCCCCCAAAAATAAAGTCTGACACTGTTTCCACTGTCTCCCCATCTATTTCCCATGAAGTGATGGGACTAGATGCCATGATCTTAGTTTTCTGAATGTTAAGCTTTAAGCCAATTTTTTCACTCTCCTCTTAGGCTTTTCAGTTCTTCTTCACTTTCTGCCTTAAGGGTGGTGTCATCTGCATATCTGAGGTTATTGGTATTTCTCCCGGCAATCTTGATTCCAGCTTGTGCTTCTTCCAGCCCAGCGTTTCTCATGATGTACTCTGCATATAAGTTAAATAAGCAGGGTGACAATGTACAGCCTTGGGGTACTCCTTTTCCTATTTGGAACCAGTCTGTTGTTCCATGTCCAGTTCTAACTGTTGCTTCCTGACCTGCATACAGGTTTCTCAAGAGGCAGGTCAGGTGGTCTGGTATTCCCATCTCTTTCAGAATTTTCCACAGTTTATTGTGATCTACACAGTTGAAGGCTTTGGCGTAGTCAATAAAGCAGAAGTAGATGTTTTTCTGGAACTCTCTTGCTTTTTCGATGATCCAGCTGATGTTGGCAATTTGATGTCTGGTTCCTCTGCCTTTTCTAAAACCAGCCTGAACATCATACACATAACTTCTACAAATGACTAACAGGTATTCTGTATCAACCTTGGCAGCTCTGATTTCTCTCTCTGTGTCCTTAAACACTTCCTGAATGCACAAAGCCCTGATGCTCTACACCCACTTCCTCTTCTTTCCTGTCCCTCCCATTTCCTTGCCTGATACCTGTCACTTGACCCTTAGGCTCCACTGCACCTGGGGAAACAGAACACACCTGAGCCAAGTTCCCTGGAAGAACCTGCCCGATAAACTCTGTGCTGACATCCTGTTTAGTGCTGTCTTCTATGCCTTCCTCATGTCCATCAA